TCTGATCTCTGTCAAATAAACCATCTAAAGTAAATATCATCCAGTTTTACCTTTTCACGGTCTGAGGGCAAGGCAAAGCCAAAACAACCAAGAGTAAATTGGACTCGTTTCAGGAAATTAGGCGTATGTCACACGTCACTACTTCACAGGAGCGCCATTTGAACTGCATAAGTGTTGCCCTCCACTTTGTGGAGGACCGAGTTTTGAAATCAGTGGAATTAGAGTATGATAGCTAAGGAGATGGAGAAAATTCTGGCGTTTGATTGTAAATTGCAGACTGAGTTGAAAAGAGAACACACAGAAGGCTGTTGTATAAAACAGCGGATTACATCTTTAACGTTACGTGTATGATCTGTGTAGTAATATTATTCGTATCTCAGAGCCATTTGCATTGCTAGTTATAGCCTAATGTTAGCTAGCTAACATTGAACCTGGTTGGTTAGCGCTACCTGCAGATTCATGCAGGGTAGTAACGTTATGAGTTGGGATTATGGTTAATTGTTTAGCTAACTACATGTCTAAACAAAATACTCCACTATGCAAGTAACTATTAAAATAGAATGTTTATGATGTCACTGCGACAACAGTCGATAGACGTAGCTGGTAAATTCGCTCTGGCTATCTACTTCGATTTCAGAGCACTCTCTCGTCTGAGTGTGCCAGAGCGCAGAATAACTGACGAATTTACAAACACTCAACACCCGTTGAATGTGGCCGGTGTCAGTAAATGTTGGCAAAAAAGCGTGATTAAATTGTTGCCAGCAGCACAGTTGCAGTTACCAACGCTCTGGATAACATAAAAACAGCCTAAACAGCTCTGGTAGGGCGAGTAAAATGGTCAGAGTGCGCTGTTCTCTCATTTGTGTCTGGAAGTAGCTCGCAAGATAGTCAATGTTAGCCAGTTAGCTTGGGTGCTTGACTGCTGTTATTAGGTCAGAACACTCTGATCAACCCTACTTTTCGGCCAGAGCGTCCAGTGTGTGCTCTGAACGCTCCGAGAGCTAAACACTCTGAATTTACAAATGGACAATCTGACAACACTCTGACTTTACGAATGCCCAGAGCACACTCTGGCACTCCAGATTAAATTTACGAACACAACCGTAGTATTAGCCAGCCTTTAGTCTTGAAATCTTTGGTTGTTTAGTACATACAGTGCCTTGCAAAAGTATTCATCCCCCTTGGCGTTTTTCCTATTTTGTTGCATTACAACCTGTAATTTAATTGGATTTTTATTTGGATTTCAGGTATTGGAAAATAGTCCAAATTGGTGAAGTGAAATGAAAAAAATAACTTGTTTCAAAAAACCACCAAGCAAGTGGCACCATGAAGACCAAGGAGCTCTCCAAACAGGTCAGGGACAAAGTTGTGGAGAAGTACAGATCAGGGTTGGGTTATAAAAAAATATCTGAAACTTTGAACATCCCACGGAGCACCATTAAATCCATTATAAAAAAATGGAAAGAATATGGCACCACAACAAACCTGCCAAGAGAGGGCCGCCCACCAAAACTCACGGAGCAGGCAAGGAGGGCATTAATCAAAGATAACAAAGAGACCAAAGATAACCCTGAAGGAGCTGCAAAGTTCCACAGCAGAGATTGGAGTATCTGTCCATAGGACCACTTTAAGCCGTACACTCCACAGAGCTGGGCTTTACGGAAGAGTGGCCAGAAAAAAGCCATTGCTTGAAGAAAAAAATAAGCAAACACGTTTGGTGTTCGCCAAAAGGCATGTGGGAGACTCCCCAAAGATATGGAAGAAGGTACTCTGGTCAGATGAGACTAAAATTGAGCTTTTTGGCCATCAACACCTCTCATCACCCCGAGAACAACATCCCCACAGTGAAGCATGGTGGTGGCAGCATCATGCTGTGGGGATGTTTTTCATCTGCAGGGAAACTGGTCAGAATTGAAGGAATCATGGATGGCGCTAAATACAGGGAAATTCTTGAGGGAAACCTGTTTCAGTCTTCCAGAGATTTGAGACTGGGATGGAGGTTCACCTTCCAGCAGGACAATGACCCTAAGCATACTGCTAAAGCAACACTTGAGTGATTTGAGGGGAAACATTTAAATGTCTTGGAATGGCCTAGTCAAAGCCCAGACCTCAATCCAATTGAGAATCTGTGGTATGACTTAAAGATTGATGTACACCAGGAGAACCCATCCAACTTGAAGGAGCTGGAGCAGTTTTGCCTTAAAGAATGGGCAAAAATCCCAGTGGCTAGATGTGCCAAGCTTATAGAGACATACCCCAAGAGACTTGCAGCTGTAATTGCTGCAATAGTACAAAGTATTGACTTTGGGGTTTTGAATAGTTATGCACGCTCAAGTTTTCTGTTTTTTTGTCTTATTTCTTGTTTGTTTCACAAAAAAATATATTTAGCATCTTCAAAGTGGTAGGCATGTTGTTTAAATCAAATGATACAAACCCCCCAAAAAATCAATTTTAATTCCAGGTTGTAAGGCAACAAAATAGGAAAAATGCCAAGGGGGGTGAATACTTTCGCAAGCCACTGTAGCCTCACGTGATTCCTTAAAGAGATGGGTGGGGCTAAAGCTTAAAACGGTGTGAACGATGCTGAATGGGTGTAGACAAAGAAGAGCTCTCCAGTAGGTACCAAAACATTCAAGGACCATTTTCTCAAAAGTGAGGTTACAAGTTTATCAACTTTCAAAGCAGAATCACTTTCCCATTGTTCCTCAACTGTAGTGTATGATATACACTCTCTACTTTTATCCAATGTAAAAAACACAATTTCAAATGTTGCTACATAAGACCAAATTGAGCCGGTCGGTCACATATTTAGAGGGGAAAATAGACATCCTTTTGAATTTAATAAAATCTGACATTTTTTGTAATTTAGGTGCCGGAAATTGTCCAAAGTATTGTATACTGCAGTCCCTGTACCATCTCCAGATCTGTCCTCTCCTCTTTACAGATTATAAAACATGGATTCTAAATGTCATGACTGTAGTGGTACTGTATATCCTCTGGATGAGGCTGAGAGGGGTTTGTTGTCATGCCGATGGATGGGAACACGAGGGCATTGGTACCTTTCATTTATGTTTACACATGAATGGAATCTAATCTGTTAAATAGACCACAGAGGACTATAAAAGCTTTCATAGCCATTTCATAACCCCACCGACGAGAACTTCACCTCTAATTCACTTTTACAGAGCTATAATGTTCTGCCACTCTGTGTCATATAAACAGAGACTAAATGAATGACAGTCCTGTAAATTACGGACTGCCCCCGCCCCTCCCCCCTGGGCCTCAGCGTATGTTCCATGACGCTGAACACAGGAAGCAGCATTCCCAACGCTACTCTCCCATTGGTCGGTTTGATAAATAAGGCCTGGGAGAGGACATATGTGAGGAGGCGTCTCGGAACTGACACTGGAACTTCATTAATACGTAGAATTTATTGATCATAGCACTGTAGGGAAATCATCTCACATCTTCAGCCATTTTCAGCCATAGGTAACAATAAATAAGGAAGCAGTAAATATCTCAAATATATGCCAGATTCGAAATGCGAGACAATAAACGTGACAGGGAAATATGTGACATTGCATCAATATAACTCATATAAATTCAAATACAGTGCTTAAAGCGGCGGGGTGTCACTTGGTTCCGTTAATATAAGGTCAAAAGGGAGATGAGTGAAATGTCTACAAAATAGAGTAGATTGAGTTGACACATTTTCTCTCACAAATCAGCCTTCCAGTGGAATAATTGATCCGAGACAGGCGGTTCTATAAAAGGAAATGCCAGGTAATTTCCTTTTTCATTATAAAAAGCGTGAAAGAATTAGAGCTGAATGGACCTGCCCATATGTGCTGACTGGAGAACCTTGGAGAGAAAGAAGCCCTGGCTTCCCAACCATTAGACAAAGAGAAAAGAGAACCCTGCAGAATGGAGAAGGGAGAGACAGCCTGGTTCTGTTCCAGGACTCCTGCACCATGCCAGTCGTCCAACACCAGTACTCTGCACCCAACAAAGGCTGCACCCCTCTGGGAGCCAGCTTACATCCTCATCCTGCCATTCCACCCAGAAACAAAAACAACAACTCCTTAACTTGGCAGCTAGTCCCCCTTCCACCAATAAAGATTCACTCTGGCTATTTCTGCATGTTGCAGACACAGAAACAGGTTGATTGTGCCTCCTTTCACCAATTCCAGCTCCTTCAGTAACTAGCAAACGAAAAGGGAAATAGTGCCACAAAGAGAACAAGAGAGCAGTGTTTTCACAGAACGGCGTCAAATGGGGATACGGCGAACAGGGAGCTAACACAACACAGAGAGCCTGTAGAGGATTTTTTCAAACGTTCTCCAAAGAGCATCAGTGAATAGGGCCACACGCTGTGAGGCTGTGAGGCTCTGAGACAGACGTGAGGAGGCTTGACAGCCCGTCAACTGCCACCATGTTGTAAGACTTCCTGCATTTACAATGGCACACTCACTCCACAACGGATTTATCAAGAGCCCTAGCTACCTCCTAATGCGTCAGTCAGTCGCACGGTTGTTTCCTTGATGCCATTCGAATTGAAGGCGAAGGGTACAAAGGGTACAAAGGGTACTAAGAGTGTGAAAGGTGTGAAGGGTACGAAGGGTACGAAGGGTACTAAGGGTGTGAAAGGTACGAAGGGTACAAAGGGTACTAAGGGTTTGAAAGGTGTGAAAGGTACGAAGGGTACAAAGGGTACTAAGGGTGTGAAAGGTGTGAAGGGTACGAAGGGTACTAAGGGTTTGAAAGGTGTGAAGGGTACGAAGGGTGCGAAGGGTACGAAGGGTACTAAGGGTGTGAAAGGTGTGAAGGGTACGAAGGGTACGAAGGGTACTAAGGGTTTGAAAGGTGTGAAAGGGTGAAGGGTACGAAGGGTACTAAGGGTGTGAAAGGTTTGAAGGGTGTGAAGGGTACGAAGGGTACTAAGGGTACTAAGGGTTTGAAAGGTGTGAAGAGTACGAAGGGTGCGAAGGGTACTAAGGGTACTAAGGGTTTGAAAGGTGTGAAGATACGAAGGGTACAAAGGGTACTAAGGGTGTGAAAGGTGTGAAGGGTACGAAGTGTACGAAGGGTACTAAGGGTTTGAAAGGTGTGAAGGGTACGAAGGGTACTAAGGGTACTAAGGGTTTGAAAGGTGTGAAGTGTACAAAGGGTACAAAGGGTACTAAGGGTGTGAAAGGTGTGAAGGGTACGAAGGGTATGAAGGGTACTAAGGGTTTGAAAGGTGTGAAAGTTACGAAGGGTGCGAAGGGTACGAAGGGTACTAAGGGTACTAAGGGTGTGAAAGGTGTGAAGGGTACGAAGGGTACGAAGGGTACTAAGGGTTTGAAAGGTGTGAAAGTTACGAAGGGTGCGAAGGGTACGAAGGGTACTAAGGGTACTAAGGGTGTGAAAGGTGTGAAGGGTACAAAGGGTACGAAGGGTACTAAGGGTACTAAGGGTTTGAAAGGTGTGAAGGGTACGAAGGGTGCGAAGGGTACTAAGGGTACTAAGGGTTTGAAAGGTGTGAAGGGTACGAAGGGTACGAAGGGTACTAAGGGTGTGAAAGGTACGAAGGGTACAAAGGGTACTAAGGGTTTGAAAGGTGTGAAAGGTACGAAGGGTACAAAGGGTACTAAGGGTGTGAAAGGTGTGAAGGGTACGAAGGGTACGAAGGGTACTAAGGGTTTGAAAGGTGTGAAGGGTAGAAAGGGTACGAAGGGTACTAAGGGTTTGAAAGGTGTGAAGGGTGCGAAGGGTACGAAGGGTACTAAGGGTTTGAAAGGTGTGAAGGGTACGAAGGGTACGAAGGGTAATAAGGGTTTGAAAGGTGTGAAGGGTACGAAGTGTACTAAGGGTTTGAAAGGTGTGAAGGGTACGAAGGGTACGAAGGATACTAAGGGTACTAAGGGTGTGAAAGGTGTGAAGGGTACGAAGGATATGAAGGTTACTAAGGGTTTGAAAGGTGTGAAAGGTGTGAAGGGTACGAAGGGTACGAAGGGTACTAAGGGTTTGAAAGGTGTGAAGGGTACGAAGGGTGCGAAGGGTACTAAGGGTACTAAGGGTTTGAAAGGTGTGAAGGGTACGAAGGGTACGAAGGGTACTTAGGGTGTGAAAGGTACGAAGGGTGCAAAGGGTACTAAGGGTTTGAAAGGTGTGAAAGGTACGAAGGGTACAAAGGGTACTAAGGGTGTGAAAGGTGTGAAGGATACGAAGGGTACGAAGGGTACTAAGGGCTTCGTACCCTTCGTACCCTTCACACCTTTCAAACCCTTAGTACCCTTCGTACCCTTCGCACCCTTCGTACCCTTCACACCTTTCAAACCCTTAGTACCCTTCGTACCCTTCACACCTTTCAAACCCTTAGTACCCTTCGTACCCTTCGTACCCTTCACACCTTTCACACCCTTAGTACCCTTTGTACCCTTCGTACCTTTCACACCTTTCAAACCCTTAGTACCCTTTGTACCCTTCGTACCTTTCACACCCTTAGTACCTTTCGTACCCTTCGTACCCTTCACACCTTTCAAACCCTTAGTACCCTTAGTACCCTTCGTACCCTTCGTACCCTTCACACCTTTCACACCCTTAGTACCCTTAGTACCCTTCGTACCCTTCGCACCCTTCGTAACTTTCACACCTTTCAAACCCTTAGTACCCTTCGTACCCTTCATACCTTTCACACCTTTCAAACCCTTAGTAACCTTCATACCCTTCGTACCCTTCACACCTTTCACACCCTTAGTACCCTTTGTACTAGGGTACTAAGGGTTTGAAAGGTGTGAAGGGTACGAAGGGTGCGAAGGGTACGAAGGGTACTAAGGGTTTGAAAGGTGTGAAGGGTACGAAGGGTACGAAGGGTAATAAGGGTTTGAAAGGTGTGAAGGGTACAAAGTGTACTAAGGGTTTGAAAGGTGTGAAGGGTACGAAGGGTACGAAGGATACTAAGGGTACTAAGGGTGTGAAAGGTGTGAAGGGTACGAAGGATACGAAGGGTACTAAGGGTTTTAAAGGTGTGAAAGGTGTGAAGGGTACGAAGGGTACTAAGGGTGTGAAAGGTGTGAAGGGTGCGAAGGGTACGAAGGGTACTAAGGGTACTAAGGGTTTGAAAGGTGTGAAGGGTATGAAGGGTGTGAAGTGTACTAAGGATACTAAGGGTTTGAAAGGTGTGAAGGGTACGAAGGGTACAAAGGGTACTAAGGGTGTGAAAGGTGTGAAGGGTACGAAGGGTACGAAGGGTACTAAGGGTTTGAAAGGTGTGAAGGGTACGAAGGGTATGAAGGGTACTAAGGGTACTAAGGGTTTGAAAGGTGTGAAAGGTACGAAGGGTACAAAGGGTACTAAGGGTGTGAAAGGTGTGAAGGGTACGAAGGGTACGAAGATTACTAAGGGTTTGAAAGGTGTGAAAGGTATGAAGGGTACGAAGGGTACTAAGGGTTTGAAAGGTGTGAAGGGTACGAAGGGTACGAAGGGTACTAAGGGTACTAAGGGTACTAAGGGTGTGAAAGGTGTGAAGAGTACAAAGGGTACGAAGGGTACTAAGGGTTTGAAAGGTGTGAAGGGTACGAAGGGTACTAAGGGTGTGAAAGGTGTGAAGGGTACGAAGGGTACGAAGGGTACTAAAGGTTTGAAAGTTGTGAAAGGTGTGAAGGGTACGAAGGGTACTAATGGTGTGAAAGGTGTGAAAGGTACGAAGGGTACGAAGGGTACTAAGGGTACTAAGGGTTTGAAAGGTGTGAAGGGTACGAAGGGTGCGAAGGGTACTAAGGGTACTAAGGGTTTGAAAGGTGTGAAAGGTACGAAGGGTACAAAGGGTACTAAGGGTGTGAAAGGTGTGAAGGGTACGAAGGGTACGAGGGGTACTAAGGGTTTGAAAGGTGTGAAGGGTACGAAGGGTACTAAGGGTACTAAGGGTTTGAAAGGTGTGAAGGGTACGAAGGGTACGAAGGGTACTAAGGGTTTGAAAGGTGTGAAGGGTACTAAGGGTACTAAGGGTACTAAGGGTTTGAAAGGTGTGAAGGGTACGAAGGGTACGAAGGGTACGAAGGGTACTAAGGGTGTGAAAGGTGTGAAAGGTACGAAGGGTACGAAGGGTGCAAAGGGTACGAAGGGTACTAAGGGTTTGAAAGGTGTGAAAGGTACGAAGGGTACGAAGGGTACTGAGGGTGTGAAAGGTGTGAAGGGTACGAAGGGTACTAAGGGTGTGAAAGGTGTGAAGGGTACGAAGGGTACTAAGGGTATAAAGAAATGTTGCTGGTGGCTTTGAAACTTCCCACGTTAATACAGACAATCTGTGAATCTTATTTCTCCTGGTATGGCACCTTCACAACAGATCCCAAGCCAACGGACATCAAAACAATGGATCATCAGTTTATAAAGCATCCTCTGCACTTTTTAACAACATTTCCGGTAAAATGTGCCAAGGTGCAAAATAGTAATTGTTTGAATAAGCATGTTTTGATAAGGAGGAAGTCCACAGCATCAATTCGGGGAAAACTACCTTACCTCAAATGAAAGCTCTTCATGAACAATTTCTACCAAAGGTTAAGTGAGATGCATTAGGACTCCGGTGCACATCGTACATCTGTCATATTCACACAACAATGCCAGCAAAATTGACATTTCTAGCCTAGATGACATTTTTTTGGGATCAATCATATCAATGCATTCTTGTCTAAACAGCTCCGAGAGTAATATCAATATCAACTCACTGATTTGTCTCTCTGCGTGACAGCAAGCATGTATAATAACCTTGTTAAAATCCTAAAAAGGATGGTGATTAGCCTAATCTACAGATAGAGAAGGTCATAGAAGTGCTTTGTCTTATCAAGTGTTACAGTATTTGCATGTTCAAATGTCATGGAATGCACAGTGGGATATTGCTCCACTGTTTACAATGTTGTTGTGTGGCTTTAAGCTTAACGATCAGCAGTCTAACATCATGATTCAACATGATCACTTGGCTCCCTACCGCATAGCTCCTGTCTCAGTGTAGGTAGAGAGAGAGGAGAGAGAGGAGCGAGAGAGAGAGAGAGAGAGAGAGAGAGAGAGAGAGAGAGAGAAGAGAGAGAGAGAGAGAGAGAGAGAGAGAGATAGAGAGAGAGAGAGAAGAGAGAGAGAGAGAGAGAGAGAGAGGTAGAGAGATAGAGAGAGTACGTAGAATCAAAGAGATTAATCTATAGGATAGATCGTCTCGAGAGAGGAGATCTCTCTCCGCGTCTCTCTCTCTCTGATGCCTAGTTCTTCTTCTCTATCGGCAGCTCTACTCTACGCTCTCTACTATGGATCGGAGTGAAGATAGGAGTGAAGAGAGGAGATCACTGTTTGAGGAAATCTCCTTATGGGAGTTGCCAGTCCATTGTCTCTGCCTTTAGATTGACTACCTCATTTATAAAACAATCTCTCCAATTTCCCCACAGACTGAGAACCTGCAGAAGGAAGAGTGTGTATACAGTATAACCAGGGTCGGGGGGTTGGCTGGAGATTGTTGTTATGGAGATAAACTCAGAATGTGTATAGTTGTCAGGGGAGATATGGCAAAAAGAAAATAAGAGGCTCTCTTCCTGTCTGGATTGTGTCATTAATAAAAATGATGCAGTGCTCTGCACGTAAATCCATAGTTAAACGACTTTGTGTGTTCTAGGTGAGACGCTATACACAGTCATATGTGCTACAAAGCAATGCATCTTTCTCTGTACCAGATAATGCATGGTAATAATGTAGTGACTCATCTTAATTACTCAAGTCTCCTGTTTCACACAAGTAAAGATATTACGTTAATGATGAGTGACTGTGATAGCATTCATCCATAGGGATAGCGTTGAAAAGTAGGCTACAGCTGCACAACATTGAGAGGATCCTGAAATGAAAGTAAGTACAGTGATCGATCGTGGCTTAGGCATTGAGTTTCGCTCAAGAAGGATCGGACTTGAAACAGGATCAACACTCAAAGTCAGTTCACAAATCAACGGAAAACCAATTCACTGTTTGGTTACAACACAACAACATCCTGTCCCTGAAAAACAACAATACATCTTGATTCTGCTGATCAAATGATCACGGTCAGATTGTGACATTGACGGTAGGAGGCCATCACTGAAGAGGAATCCATACAGCACCTCACTAGCTCATACTTTGTTTGTTTAATAACTGTCACTTTTCCTAATAGTAAGTGCTCTGATCTAAGTAAGCAGGACGGCAGTAAGTCATCACGGGTGAGAGCTGTCATTCGATGAATAGAGGTAAGGATGTTGCTACTGGTAATTCTTTTCAGAGATGCCTTTCGGCCTTCCCCCCTCGAGCATCTGTAACAAAGCTGTAGTAATCAATGGCAGCAACCATCACTGTCAGTACTATCCACACTGCTGCCATGTGGGATTCACACAGAGACAGAGAGAGGGAGAGAGAGAGGGAGAGATAGAGGGAGAGAAAGAGAAAGAGGGTGGTAGAGGGAGGAGGACAGAAGGATAGGTAGCCTAGCGGTTAAGAGGTTGGGCCAGTAAGTGAAAGTTTGCTGGTTCGAATCCCTGAGCTGACCAGGTGAAAAATCTGTCGATGTGCCCTTGAACAAGGCACTTAACCCTAATTGCTCCTGTAAGTTTCTCTGGATAAGAGCGCCTGCTAAATGACTAAAATGTAAAAGAGAGAGAGGGTAAAAAAAGATATATAGCTGAAGAGAGAGAGAGGAGGTAAGGATTAATAGTCCAGGACGGCCCCAGGCTATAACACCTGATTCTTAGTCAGTGTTTCATCCCAGCCTAGGGTCATTTGCATAGCCATTAGCCATAGCAGGTCCGACTCCCAGTGCACTGGTTCATTTCCACCCCTGGCTCATCTCCGTGTCAGTGGAGATAAGAGTAATTTCAGCTTATGAATGACTGCCCTATATGACATGTTTTTGAAAAACCCTCGTAGTCACAGAAACCAGGACATTGATTTGGATTTTCTTGGTGTCACGATCGTCTTCAAAATGAGCGGACCAAGGCGCAGCGTGATAAGCGTACATACTTTATTATAAAGAAGCGCACACACGAAAACGAAACAAAACACGATCGTAACGTCCTCAGTGACAAAAACACGGAACACTGGAACACAGCAACAACAGGAACAAAAACCCACAACCACAAAGTGAAAACACACAGTTTAAATATGGCTCCCAATCAGAGATAACGAGCCGACAGCTGACACTCGTTACCTCCGATTGGGAGTCATTGACCAATCACCACTAAACACAAACAAATGAAACACACCCATCCCCAACACCACCAAATGAAATACACCCTGGCTCTAACACACAGTCCCGGAGCCAGAGTGTGACAGTACCCCCCCCCCAAAGGCGCGGACTCCGACCGCGCCTAACCCAAAAAATGGGGAGGGCTGGGTGGGTGTTGCTCCTCGGAGGCGGCTCTGGCACTGGTCGTGGTCCCCACCCCACCATAGTCACTACCCGCTTTAGTAGCCTCCTCCATTTGACCACCCTACAACCTAACCCACCTGGATTAAGGGGCAGCACCGGACTAAGAGGCAGCACCGGACTAAGGGGCAGCACCGGACTAAGGGACAGCACCAGGATAAGGAGCAGCACCGAGCTAAGGGACAGCACCGGACTAAGGGGCAGCACCAGGATAAGGGACAGCACCAGGATAAGGAGCAACACCGAGCTAAGGGGCAGCAC